ATTTGAATGTATTTCAAACCATTCAAAAGGGGATATGAAACCAATTCTGATAACTGAAATATTTTGTTTGTAAATACATAGGATAGGGGTTAATTAACAATTAAAGAAGCCAGAATTTCAAATCGAAAACCCCCCGGAATGATATTAAGGACGGCATTTGTTCCCTCTTGAAACGCCGAACATACCGCAGTGTGTGCAGTTTAATATACAATGGCGTCTTATTTTGTTTACAAGCGACAGATTCCTTTATTTTTGTATCGCTGCATTTGTCATCAAAATAAAAACATGCGCGGGGTTTAGAGTGAGGCAACAGATTATACATTTAGCCTGACGGTAGTGAAGTAAGAGAAAGAACTCAAGAGAAGATGAAAAACAGGTACTGAAAATGTGTTAGATTTCATGGGACATCGTCTGCTTGTGCAAATCATGTCCATCCTGTGATCTCACACATCTCATCAGCGTTCTGAGAGCTCTTCAGGTGCTATGCCGGGGCTGTATTTAAGCGTTTTGTAATTTATAATAATCATTACTTCGAACGTTTCCAAGCATTAAATTTTGATAACCTTGTCGAATCAAAGTTTCAGCTTTGCAATAATGAGAATAAAGTTAGTTTTTGAAATCAATGAATATCCACTTTAAAGCCAATCTTATTCTCACCATCGTCAACTTCGTCATCTTCATCGATTCCCAGAGCGAAATTTTTCATTCCCTCCATCTCCTTGGCGAGTTTGGGTGAGCCATTCCTGTCTAGGGCCTTGATGAACTCTCCAAAACAGTCCTCTGACTTATGATCCAGTCTTAGGAGAAGTTCTGAGGCACCGACACAATTTCCCTCATGATCCACCTGCTCATAACGAAATTATATTTTTAAAATATGTTTTCTTGACAATATTACGGCGTGCATGGAGTTAAATATTGTGGGGAAACCTTATGACAGCAACAAATAGCAAATCTCATTATAAAATCCATGTTTAAGATGTTAAATCCTTTACAAATTATAATTCCATTTATGCTTTCCTTGGACGAACTGGTTGATTCCCATTGAATCAATTTTAAATCACTAAGGCCTCCCCCTTTTGTGAATTTGAAGAAAAAAATCACTAATAAAAATGCTAAAAGTAAACATTGTGTAACAAAAAATTAAAGAGTGAAACAGTAATGTTGTGTACAGTAGGAAGACATAATTATAGAACAAAAGGAATTAAAACGACTCAGTTTTAAGGAATGGAAAGATATATAAAGCACATCGAAACGAATTTCCCGTACCCTTTTTCGTATTTTCGCTACGTCTCGTTTAGTAAGATGTTCTTTTAATGAGGTAAGAAGGCTTAGAGGCTCAATATCCATCAATCGATTAACGTAGGACCTAAGAAAGGAGCGATAATGTTCCCTTTTCTTGGTGTTGAATTCAGAGGTGCCTTCCAAATGATCAGCTATTGCGCCGTTATCTGTACGACGGGAGAAGAAACGAAAGAGAAGAAGAAAAAAAAAACGTTCATCAGCAGTAGCGGACGTGACGAGCGACCGGCCCACTATTTTTAAGATTATGCATTTCTCTCTTTCTTTCTCTTTTCTCTCTCTCTCTTGGTCTCTTTTCCCCTTAAAAAAATATCAACCAGTCATTCTATATAACAATTATACCCCTTTGCCAGTCCGCCTCTGTTTACCAGTTATGTATTTATAATATATGAAGAATAAAAGCAGTGATCTAGAGATGTACGATGAATAGCAAAAGTAAAACAAACGTTTTTTTGTTAAGAAGACAGAAGGAGAAGAAGAGGAGAAGAAGAAGAACAAGAAGAAAAAAATAAAGAAGAAGAAAAAGAAAAAGAGGAAGATACCCAAAAACATGCTGGTGTTGATTTTTATGGGGATTGTCGGCCTGTCGGGATGGGAATAACGGAAATTGGATGGCCGTCGCGAAAACGTTTCCGTATTTGCAGTTCAAATTATATCTCGATCTTGGCAAGCGTTATTAATCTCTCTCTCTCTGTCTATCTCCCTTTCTTTCTCTCTTTCAATACCCATCTAGTCTGACCTTTGATTGTTTCTTACCTGATCGATACAAAGCATCGATCACAGCACGATAGAGACCCCTTTTGTCTTCCTTAAAGTCCAGTGCCTCCATGAAACGTTCTGCAATTATTTTTCGTGTGGCATCTGTTTCAATCAATTCTAGCACTTCGTCGAATATCACTAAGAATAACAAAAGATAACAAAGCGGTAAACGTCATATTTAATAAAAAATTTCAGCATATCAATACGGAATCTGTAGGTATTGAAAAAATTGTAACCTTCATAAACAAATACTCAAAAAGATAGCAAAAAAAATCAGTGAAGCAGACTGATGAAAGTTTGAACAAAATCGGACAAAAATAAGAAAGTTATAAATACAGGCGTATTAGGGATCTTCAACTTGGACAACTTTCCACATTTGTTACAAGTTAAAAAAAATGACTAAAAATTCTTTCTTTTTCCTCTCAAATTATTTGATTCAGGGGGATATTTACACTTTAGAGGACCTCTGATGATATGTTACAGGCGCGGATCTACGGGGGGGGGGGGTTAGGGGGTTTAAACAGGCGCGTACGCAGGGGGGGGAGGTTGGTTTTTTTTGTTAAATTATTTAAAAAAAAAAAAAAAAAAAAATCACCCCCATGTCTGACCTAAGAAAGGTGACCTTACCCCCCCCCCCCCCCCAACGTAGCAAAATGTAAATTTTTCAAATTTTGAGACAAAAAAAAGTGTCCTCTTACCCCCCCCCCCCCCCCCCCCCCCCCCCCGCTTATTCAGCGGTCGGTTGAGTCGTTGCGATTTTTTTGAGACCAAAAAAAAAAAAGTGTCCGCTTACCCCCCCCCCCCCCCCCCCCCCCCCCCCCCCCCCCCCCCCCCCCCCCCCACTGAGCGACTTTTCGGCTGGCTGAGTCGTTGCGATTTTTTGTTGGGCTCCCCCCCCCCCCCCAAAAAAAAAAAAAGTGATTCTTAATATGAATCCCAAATAACTTATTTTCCACTGCTCTATAATTATGTAAAGCATGGGTGTCGATCCTTACGTAATACCTATTCATCAGGGGGGATGAATGAATAGATCATCCCCCCTGAACAATAGGTATCAATGACAGATCGACACCCATGATGTATAGAGAATTGACTATGCTGAAAGTTCTCCCACTGATCATACACCGCACTGTTGATGGCTTCTTCTACATGTTTATTAAAAATGTCACCATCCAAAACCAATCCACGTATATCAGACAATATGCAAACGTACTTAATCAATGGTAAATTGGAAAGCTTTACACACAAAATCTCACCATCATCCCTGTCAAACTGTATTTTGAGACCTTCTACAATTTCTCTGACATCCAGGACCTCTATGAGTAGAGGTCGATAGACCTCCGTAATGACCTTAAACTTATTCTCCTCCGCCTCCTCCCACGCTGGGGCATCCACCGGGGCCGCGGTCATCACTTATCGATCCTACAGTCTCAACTTCAACCTAAAAAAAAGAGAAAATATATCACGAAAGACTACTACTGGCTGTTGTCTTTCTAACTGCAACGCAGTGTACTAAATTGTACTAAACTGTCACAGGTCCAATATAAATATGTTGCAGGAGTACAACCCTGGGCAAGCAAGACAATATGAATTGCGCAATGTACAGTGGAGCGATGTGGGCGCAACGATGTGATTTCGAAATACCGTGCACACGAAGGGGATTCCCCGAACTCACTCAGCCTCAGCGGTGTCGACTGTAGTATGTGTCGACCATTGTTTGAACGCACTTGTCATTTTAATAGAAGTGTACAATGCGCATGTATTCCGCTAATGTATAAAGTAGGGTCTGAATTATCATCTATCCACTATTATACATTCCGTCCCAGGAAAAATATTAAACCGAGAATTATCGATGTTTTATCATAACTTAATCACATTTATGATTAATAAGAAAGACTTGATGCATGGCTGATTGGTGATTAACTGGTTACATTTTATTATGTAAAGTAATCGTTTTTAATTTGCACTAAAACAAACACATCAGTCCTTCTTTGAAAAATATAGATGTGATAAATGACGGCATAGCTATTTTCAACCAACCAAAGTGTGAATTTCAAAATAGCTTTTTTTGTTGTTGTTATAGAATGGAGATTTCACACTTGAGCTTTCTCATGAAAATGCCATAATTATGTTGTACAGCAATAGTCATGATTGTAAACTTTGATCTAGCGACGACTTAGTCTGCAAGCACAGACCCTAATTTGACACTTTATCAATAAATCATTGTGCCTTGGGAGAAGCCTAGCCCAGCTACCTATTGGTTGTGTGTGTGTCAGGAGCAGCTATAGTACATGGCCTATGGTAGTCTTATAGTGCAGACTCACTTTTACGACTGACCAGGGTGTGTGCTTGCAGACTAGCGACGACCCTTGAGAACAACAGCCAACGAGACTGAACGTTTCCAATCTTTCCTTAAATTTATTTCTTCGTCTTGTCGGCCTTCTGGGCTGTGTGTGAAGGAGGAGAAGCCGAGGGGAGGAAGAGAAGGAGGAGGAGAAATTTAGTTTATAATGGAAGGAGATCAGCTCTAGAAGAAGAAGTGATAACAGGAGCAAGATCTAAAAGGCTCTTCTATTATTCGGCTTTATCGATCAAGCTGATGTCAGAATCAAAATTAGGCCAAGTACAATTGGTTTCTTGTTGGAGGAGGGGGTTCCATAAAATGTGATATTTGCTAGTTAGTTCTGTACATAGAAATGATTGTTGTTGGGTCAATTTCAAAAGAAAATGATTTAATTCAAATTTCAAAAGTCCTGTACAGAGGTTGAAAACAAAGTGAAATTGCATTAAATTCCTGATTTGTATGGGAATATTTGTTAACCATTTTTTCTAATTGTCCTCATATTTTTATTAATACATTTTTTCCCTGTATGAATATAAGCCTTTCAAGGATACCGTACACATCGCACGCTATATTAAGATCTAAAGTCTAAAACTTAATTGCCAGACGTGTACGTACCGGTACGAGGTTGAGTTCGACTACAAAGTAGTAAGTTATTCTTTAGTGAGTATATTGTCGAACAACAAATATATGTCTCTAAAGTAGAATGTTTAGTAAATGAATATGACACTTAGAGTACTGTTTTCAATTGCATTGAGAGGATATTGTGTGTGTGTTGTGTTCTCTTGCTTCCGCCGTCGAATAGAACAGTCATGAATTATCATATGTTTACGTCGATATACCGCTACTGTGGATCTGTCGGTAGGCGCTAATGTGTGACCAAAGTTCACTTTACTTACATTACTTTATGTTAGTTTAATCCACCGATACTATAGGACTATGCCTGTTCATCGATCGTAGAGGTCTTCTTCAGTGGTTAGGCATATACGTTATCCTTGTCATTTCAAATTAAATAAGTGGGGAAAGGACATTAAAGAAAAAAATAGGAATGTGAACAATTAGGAAAAACTGATATTCGATTCATGATTATTTGAATTCTACACAAATTGCTACCAATTTCTTTTCCTTCTAGAAAATTAGTCATTAAAAGTATTCCAGTGACATCGCTTTCAAGACAAATTCAATGTCAAATTGGCGTATTTGCCTTAACTGCAGAAATCGCCACATAAAGTTTTAACAATTATAAACGAGTCTTTGATTTACGTAAGAGAGTTACATCTGGTCTATTCAAAGGAGTGATCCATCTAAGGTAAGATAATTTCATGAATCGGAACGCGATATATCATTCAAATAGTTATCACTTTCTACTTACACAACTGCAATATGATGACATTTTTTTACAAAATGAAAATTTCCCGACCCTTGTCGGTATAAGTTTATTAATTTCTTTGGTGATCTTGTGTTACTATTTTCATAAGTACTCAATTTCACTACTCAATTTCGAAGAACATTTGTCTTCAAATAATTGTTTGATACCCTTTCCATTGGGGTACCAGGTTTTCGAAACTTTCCAAATTTTGTTGTTGTTGCACACAATGAAAACGAAGAGGCTCCTCGCCAAGATTGGTGATAGATTTCTGATTTTAATATTCAAATAATTTTTTATAATTTATCAGTTGAATTGATTTTATTTTACTTCTATTTAGGTGTTGATGAGTTGTCACCTAAATGCTGACGTTGAGTGAATTCTGATGAGTCTTGTACAGTGGTGTTTAATTGTCCTTTCAAGAATAAATGGAAGGAGTCTTCATTTTGTTGTATTACACACAAAGTATTGTAATGCTGCTATGAGTGACTGAACATGTTGAAGTTGCTGTGGAAACCCTTGTAATAAGTTGATTTTTATGAAAGCAGGAAAACAACAGAAATAAGCTTAAAACGAATCGGACCAATAATATGGAAGTTACGAATGTTTGAATATGAGATCACTATTAAATTAGATTCTATGCAAATCTCAAATTGGTAGTTTGGTCAGTGGATTGTGACGCAGGACGCGGATAATTCTCCTATTTGTCGTGTACAAAAATATCATTAAATTATGTTTTTCTGTTAGTTTCTTCTCCCTTGGGCCACTGCTCAAAATATATTATAGATAGCATATTATTTATGGGTCCTCCAAAGAGAAACGACCCTCGATCCTGAGATACATTTTCGAAAAATTTAAATTTTAGTCATTTTATATATGCTGGTACTTTTTTTTATAATATTTAGTCAGATTTAATTGAATAGTTGGGTTGGATTTCCTTTTAAAGGTAAAGACCAGTTATGGTCATGCGATTACATTGTGAAAGAAACGTTGTGGAATCGATCAGAAAAGGTTGATCATCTAGCATATAAGTATTGGTGTGTACAGCAAGGTTCTGGAATCATCAAAATGATAAGAAATATGGCCAGTCTTCGTAAAGTTACAAGCACTGTATACAGAAAGATGTATATGGGACTATACGCACACATGCTCGACACGTGCGTTTATCTCTCACAGACCATGTAGATAAACTAATTTACCAAATATATCAATAAGCGGTTTCCCGGCAAAATTGTTATCATCATGTATGAGTCAAAGCATATTCTTTCACATGATTGGTAATAAGAGCTTCCGTTTCATTTTATGAAATTGGGGCGTTTCCAATACTGGTCTTTACCTTTAACATTCTCTTTCTGTCTCTTAGTCTTAGATCTTCTTTGGGAGTTAGTAGCCAAGAGTTCTGTTAATGCATCACCGTCCATCAAAGTGGAATGGCTTCAATATGGAGAGCATATCTAGGACTGCTTAATAAGTATCCCTTTCGTACACAAGCAGTAACAGCAGGTAAATCAGTTCGTCATTTTGTGTAGATTTAAATATTTGCTTAAATTGTCTCTTGGGTATTGCTATTGTACTCCTTTTTTTGGGGGGGGGGGTGCGTTTCATAATTCCAAGGCACTGCTGAATGGACTTTGTCACCTATATACGCTACCGTGACCCATGCCCATGAAATGACACTTAAAGAGCAGTCTTATTTACTTTCTGTCATAGAACAAGTATCATTTTTTTACCACCTGCTCGGGGTCTTTTTTTTGTGAGGCAAGTGAGAAATGTTTTTGAAAATGCGGTGCTGGTCTATGAAAAGCCATAGGGGGAGGGGACTAAAGACATTCGATGCATGCAAAGTATATGGGTCATTATCAAAATATATTCAATACTTATAAAGAAATATACATGCATAATCAAAGCATATTCGATGTTTAAAATAAAATAAATCCGTTATCAAAATATATTCAATGGTGAAGAAAAAATATATGCGTTATTAAAATATTCTGTTTATAGATACAAATATGCACGTTTTTAAACATATGCGAGGTTTAGAAAATAATATTTGTTTGCTATTAAGAGATATTGGATGTTTACGGAGATATTTGCGTTATCAAAATATATTTGATGTTTTTAAAAATACATGCTTTATTAATTTATGCGAAATTATAGTTGAAACAATTATATGACAACAAAAGGACGAGCAAGAAAAAAAATTATGTTCGACACAAAAATTATATCGGACAATTTGTACGTACCATGGATGGACGTGAGACAACGCGGGGGGACGGAATGGGCAAACGTGACAGGCTTGATTGCCGTGGATACCGGAGCAGATTTTTAAACTGTAAACTAAATTGTCACGGCAGTCATGGTGCGGATGAAAAACCTAGTAGGCCGTAGTAAAACGGGGTAAACGCAACAAAACGTGACAGTACGTAATAGGCCGTAACAAAACTTGGAGGCGGTCTGTAATGTGACGATTTACGGGGTCGGCATGTTGCGTTCTAGTACGGTCTGGCACGACACGCTGTTCTCAGGATACAATGATTGCATTTGCTTGGGAGACCTTTGTTATACCGTGGGCACAAACGTGCTTCAAAGCTGCCCGGTGTCCACGTTTTATCCGTAGAAAGCCTTGACAGAACGTGAAACATGTGTCAGACCTTGATCAGAACGTGAAAAACGTGACGGGCCGGAAGGGAACGTACTGGCATCAGTGGGAGACCGCAGGTTGAACCGTACTGCCTTGGAGCCCTCGGGCCAGCATTCCCTTTCCATCCCACTGGCCGTCACGGAAACCGTGATAAACCGTGAGAAAACTTGGCAAAACCTAACGAAACTTGAATACAGAGATAAAATTTGCCAAAATCTCACGCTGCACTACGTTTCGGGCAAACGGGGCTGCCGGGGCCGCAGGGAACATAGTGAAAAGATAGAATAATCGAGCGCAATGTCTAGGTGTACAGCTAGAGCCTACTGTGCTAATGCTACATTTACAGTATGTTCCCGGCGGCCACGACAACCACGTTTCAGGCCACCTTGGACGAAACGGGATTGACGTGACACAACGCAGGGGACCGTATGGGCAAACGTGACAGGCCGTGATTGCCGTGGATACCGCGCAGATTTTTAAACTGTCAATAACTTTGCCACGGCAGTCACGGTGCGGATGAGAAACCTAGTAGGCCGTAGTAAAACGGGGTGAACGTAACAACACCTGACAGTCTGTAATAGGCCGTAACAAAACTTGGAGGTTGTCCGTAGTGGGACGGGAGGCCTGCATATTCCCCGGCATCTTACGGTCTTTTCAAGTTTTGTCACGTTCTGTCACGTTTAGTGCACGTTTTTTCACGGTTGCTTCACGGTTGCTGCGCATTTTGTCCCATTTTGCCACGTTTTGCCACGGTTTGCCAAGGTTCTCAAGGCAGACCAGGATGTATGGTAGACGTTTTGTCGCGTTTAATCACGGTGCATCCCGGCGTCTGACGGTTTACGGGCGCGGCGCGTTGCGTTCTGACACGGCGCACGCGGTCGGGAGGTAGTATATAAAAGACAGGCGCGGCAGGAGCTTCATTCGAGTCTGAGCAATCGACGACACATTACTGCATCTGCAATACGAAGAAAGAAGGTCAAGCTATGCCACTGAACTTAAGCCAAGACGTTCGAAGGCCCTCCGTCCTGCACCACCACAACCACCAGTAGTAGAGGAAACAATGATTGCTATTGCTTGGGAGGCCTTTTTTTTTATACCGTGGGCACAATCAAGTTCAAGTTCAAGTTCAAGTTTATTCAAACCAATCAAACACAACATTTTACAATCAATTGACACAAAAGAAATAAAAAAACATGATAGGTTTGGGACCCCGGAGAAGCAGAGCTTGTGATAAGGGGCCCCTTAAAAGGTACATAAACAAAAACAAAATAACAGTATTTAGAATAACCGATGACAAAAACATATTTACAATGATAACTAATGAGTAAATATGGGAACAGAAAAAAAGATAACACACATACACATACACTTTTTTTTTTTTTTAAACAATTTTGTTTTATTTCTCCAGATGTGTAATACAAACCATGACATACAATTGAATAAAATAAACGTGTTCAATATTGATGCTTTTACATAAACATAATTAAACACAAACTTATTTGCAGTATAATATAACTTAACAACAAAGTAAACGTATAAGTACCTAAACATAATATGTCAATTGTAAATGTTATTTACTTATATATTACAAAAAAAAAACAAATCTGGAGATAATTTTACTGAAACAATCCTGCCCCCTCCCTGCCCCCTACATCACACAGACATACTCACCCTCTATCACACAAACATACTCACCCACTCACACACATACTCACCCACCCACCCACCCACCCCCCCCCCCACACACACACACACAGTACTCACTCAGTGGATGTCTGCCAACATTCTCAACTTAAGAAAAATATACTAAATAAGTTATCCAGGCCGCAAAATCGAGTTACGCTTTTAACAAGCTCACGGTGGAGAAGAAAGCAAATCTTAATGAATCTTAAGCTGCTCCCACTTTAAAAAATGTGATCCTAGCTTTCCCATTTTAATTGCTATTTTCTTTTCCTCATCCCTATACTTAAAAATGCTTTTTTTCATCTTTTCTAAAGTTAGTACTCGCCCCCCCGATCTTGACATAAATGTAACATACTTCACCATGAAAATGATAGTATTACACATTTTTATTCTATATGAACTACCTACCAACCCAACAAATATATCTCGCCATTCTAAATCTTTAATTTCATCTAACTCAAAAAGTTGTATTAAAGCCTGCCATAACCTTTGAACGCTCCCACAAGATAAAAATAAATGTTTGTATGTTTCTATTTCCTGCTTACAAAACGAACATAAATTATCACCAACAAAACCAAATCTATGAAGATGCTCATTAGTGTATATGGCTCCATGCAATAATTTAAATTGAAATTCACGTTGTTTTCTAATGAGTATAGTAATTCTTGGTCTCACAAATATTTCTTTTAATTCTTTATCTATAAAATCATAATCATTTTGCCCATCCCTTACCTGCAAATCATACGTTCGCTGCAGTGCTTTGATGAAATAATCATAGATTGTTCTTGAACCCACATCAACAAACTGTATTTTTTTACTAGAAATATGGAAATAAGTATTAAAGCTTATCAAATCAACCTCGAGGAATTCTATTAACCCTGAATCATCCTTCCATAACCTGGGTATCGCATCATAAATATCAATAATCATAAGCAAATTATTACCTTTCATACCGAGGTTCATAAAATATTTAACAGGCTTAACATGACCTTTCTCAACCAAATGATTCAGTTGAACAATCCCTCTTTCAAACAAGTATCTATCAAATATACTTTTTCCATTTATACATATATTCTGATTATTAAAAATAATTGGATTAATATAACCCTCCAAATATCTTAAATTACTTGTCTCTTGCCATGCTTGCAACATTTCCATATAGTATGGTGGAATATCTAAAACGAGTTTAATCTTGTTTAAATCATAATCACATAAAAAAATAAATCTACCACCCACAAACTGTAAGCAATGATCAAAAAACAATTTCCATCCCAAACTTTTCTCTCCATATAAAAGACGTTTTATCCACATTATGCGCTGTATTTTAACGGACATTTCAAAATTAATCATTCTTAATCCTCCAAAGTCATAATCCTGATACATTATTGCCCGTTTAATTCTATCTTTCCCCCTCCATATGAATTCAAATGAAATTTTTGCAACTTCTTTATATACCCAATGAGGGACAATAACGAGAGATGAAATATAATTTAATTTTGAAAGCGCATAAGTTTTTAGCAAATGTATTTTACCCATAATAGTTAAATCTCTTTGTTTCCACCATACAAGCAATTTTTTTATTTTACTTAGAATTTCTTTATAATTCAAATCATCTTTTAAACTTCGATCTAATGAATAACTAACCCCTAAAATATGTATTTCCTTAACCAAATTTCCAAATAAAGGCCCATCAGGTTTGTTCTCATCCTCGCCCATCCACATAAAATGTGTCTTTGTTTTATTCACTTTAAGACCACTAATTTTTTTCAAATGATTCAAAAATATATTGCAACCTTCTAACCGAATCAATATCCTTCAAAAATATTGTCATATCATCTGCATATAACACTTGCCTAATTTCAGATTTTCCAAATGTAATCCCTTTAATACCGTTGTCCCTCCTTACTGCATGCGCCAAAATTTCGATGGCAACCAAAAACAAATATGGCGATAATGGATCCCCTTGCCTTACTCCCCTTTCTATTTCAAAATACCCCGTGGAGTGACCACCGTTCATACACACCCACGCACACACACACAGACACACCCACATACACACATACACACATGGCTTTCCAGGATTTACTTTAACATATTTTGTAATCTCTCAAAAAGATATTCTCGACATGTATGTTTAAACATAGGTAGTGTTGGACTGGATCTGATGTTTTGTGGCAAC